AGGAAGACTTACTTTACAATAGGAGTTCCTCCTCTCGTCAACCAATCCTGCCTCGCCCGAGCACTGCTCCTGAACTGACTTCGACCGGCGATCGGATTGAACTACCTCGAGCTGGCATGAGCCCCAGACGAGCCTCTTCCGAGACTTCTTCTGTTAGCACATCGTCTGCCACGCGTTCCAGGTTGCAGTCGGAATCTCCGAATGTGGTTCCACAAGATGTGAAAGCTATATCTGCCTCTCGTTCACAGTCTTGGCCTGGGAGATCATTGACACAACCAGGGTCGGTGTCTGCACATGGAGAGCGAAGACGAAAGAAGCCACGGACGGAAACTGACTCTGGCAATGGCGACTCTATCGACGACCTTGTCGACAGAACTTCTGGCGGCCATGGAACAAGTTCTACAGAGTCGGTGTCGTCGTCCGCCCGGAGGCTCTATGGTACTTTTGGTGTGGAAGCGCGCCAGTCTAAGCAAGTTGAAACTGGCAGCATAATCGATCTTACAGGTCCTGATCGCCACAGCAGCGCAGTCTATGCTCGCGCCCGTGACCGCAAAGTGCTGGTGAGAAGTCCGCGACCGCGAGCGTCGCCGGTTGCCAACTGCGCCGACTCTGCTACAATTCTTCAGCAAGACCATCACCAGGTAAGACTGTTGCCTGCAGAGGCCCGAGCCCCATATCCCAATGGTGGGCAGTCGCAATTCACGACGCATATTACCGAAACCCTGAAGAGGCTGACGCATGGGGAGGCACCCGCGCTCAAGCACTTCCGACCGGCATTTGTTTGTCGAGACGTCAAAGTCCTCGAGCGCGGTTACTGGCAATTCTACATCAAAATAGCAGAAGAGAGCGTCGTGAAAGAATCCAGACGACCTCGAGTAACACTAAACCTACTAGGATCCACGGCGCGCAAGAAACGCGGTGGTGGCGCAGGTGTGCTGGCTTCAAAGACCTCAAATCACGCCTTGTGGACTGAAGATGAATTCATCCAGTTCTGGGAGAACATGACCTCGGTTATTGAATCAGGAAAGGTAGGGTTCGCCACACGAATGACGAGGGAGCTGGATGGTGGCAGCCTCTGGAAGATCAGGGTATTTACTTGGGGAGAGATGCTTGGACATATTTGGATGTTGTTTTTGGTTCTTTCGGATAGACTGACGGGGAATATGTTGATGGAATGGATCGCTGGGAATGGAGCAGTGGTCGTGCGCATGTCGGATGGCAAACATCAATCCGGGTTATGGATGAGAAAGGGGTCGGAGGGGGCGCAAGGCGTTTGGGGTTTGGCATATCGATAAGGCCGAAGCGAGATGCAGACAGGCAGGTTGATTTTGGAGAGCGGCGTTGGACTTTTGAGGATTTGGTGGCATGTCCCATAGACGATGCCCTCCGGAATGTATATATTAGTTTCTATTCACCCCTGATCGACTGTGGTAAGGCGTCAAGATTGTTCTTGTAGCATCCAATATACCCCGTCATCGGGCTACGGTTGGTCCTCGGTATGCGAAGTACCTGGCCCCGGATCATCGTCTCTCATCATGTGGATAGGGATCGTCTAACCAAGCCCCATGGACAACCTCGTGGTCGGGTCTGGTGCTTGAAAGGCTCGGGCATTGGTGAGGTGGAGGTTGAGGGGACCCCTTGATACAGAGAAGCGGGTCTTGTTGGAATGATTGGTCCGACGAGACGACGAACCGGGATTGGTATTAACGCAGCATGCGGGATGGTGGGTGGCAGTGGGTGGATGGATGGTGAGCAGCTGCGGCTTGTTGTCGCTTTTTTCACCTGCGAACTGCGCTCGCAAAATCCACGACCTGGAAATCGCATGTGAAAGATTGAATTCCTGTAGCACCTTCCATTGCATTGCTCTCAGCCTTCTGTCACCATATCCTCTCTGTCAACCTGTACCAGAGATTGAGAAGGCTCCATAGCCACCACTGTCTTCATCCTCACCTCATCTTGTTCGCTGCACCTCATGACTGCCGCCTCTTACCGTATTTTGCCAGCTTCTCGGCCCGTTGTCCAGCCCGCATCAACACTTCCCAACAGATCCTCCAACTGTCTCTCAGGCCTTCTTTCAACTTTACCTGCAACCTGCGTTCTCGACTCCATGCGGTCTACCGTTTGACGGCTGCTGTCTCCTCCTTTCACCCCGTCGTCTATACCGAAAGAGCCGTCCTTCGTTATCTCACCCTCAACAGCGATCTTCCGCGCCATCTAACCAACCCGTGCAACGACACCTTTCTACCCTGCACAACACATTATCTCCTGGCGGACAATCACTGGTTATCTCCCACAAGTCTAGGCTGCCTTAGAGCAGCCTAGGAGAAGAGGTGGAGGCGTCGCGTGATTGATGTTGGCGATTCAAAGAATGTCGTCCCATGGCGGACAACAGAACTTCCCTTTCGGCTGTACGGCCTACACCTTTCTTATCAATCCCTCTACCTGCTTTCCCTTCTTCTTTGAAGACTCATTTGCTTACGTCTACTCCCCAGACCAACCTGAAAATCTTCATGGAATTGGTTTACCCGAGTTTATAACCCCAGGTCCTCCCCCGGGCCAACCTTTGCTCAATGCACATGAAAATCAAGATCTGGACAACTTCTTCCAGGGCTTTGATCAAAATGCTGCCGCCAACAAAGTCCTTACGCATGCTCAATACAATCCCCGCACCGATCATGACCAGTTCTTTGACATGCCGCCAACATTCGTTGGCTCGGACACTGCGCTGTCACAGAGGTCTATCATCGACCAGCATCAGCTAACAGGAGCTGGGTTTCCTTACGGTGATGGCTTTTTGGGACATGACATGACCACGGTCTCACAGACAAATCCGCTGGTCCGCGGAATGCACGGCGTTTCATACAATGATACAACATTCCCAAATCCCCTCATGGCTCAACTGCAGTCAGCCGCATCGATGCAACCGGCCTACACCCAAGGATGGCAACAGCCCTATCCACCTCCGACTGCAGTCAGGATACCACCAGCAGGCCGTCTAGACATGTCTTTCGGCTCTGATTCCCGGTTTCAACCTAGTGGCTATGCTGCTCCTCATAATCCCATGGATTCTGACCTGCCGCAAGGACTACAGATGAACAACCCCATCGGCGAATGGTTGGAACCGACAAGCGGAAGCACGACCCAGCCCAACACGCAGCCAAACACACAGCCGTCGAGTCCGACGTGGTCAAAGAAGAGAAATTTTGATGATTTCATCAGAGATCAACCTCGCAATGGCTTGATTGCCTCGATTCCACAAGCTAGCATGGTGCAACCCGCTCCACCGCAATCTAGTTCTCGGAGGAAGCGCTCTGTTGTCAAAAGCGAAACAAGAACTTCAATATCCCAGCCTCCAACACCGCTATCCAGTAGCAAACCACAAACCCCCCTCAACGCCGGAAATTCAGGAATGGGCGAACAGGAGCCAGATACCGACGTGGAAGCCGAAGGGGAGGACGAACATGACACTGCAGAACAGTCCAGATCACCTTCCCCAGCACCTTGGCCCGCATCGAAAGCTCGTCCACCTCGACATACAAAGGCTCCCCCACCTAAGCCCTCCCGAAAGAAGAAGGTGAATGCAAGCGGATCAACGCCAATCAAACCCAAGTCAAAGGTTCCAAAGGTCCATCGTCCCAGTATCACTTCTACCCGAGTGCCACTCAGTATTGAGCAAAAGAAAGCCAATCACACGAACTCGGAGCAACGACGTCGGGATGCAACTGCCCGTGCTTACGCCGAATTGTACGACCTGGTCCCAGAACTTGAAGAAATGGGAAAGCAGAGTACCATGAAGAAGCTAGAGGTTGTCGTGGCCAAAGTGCAGCGCGTAAAGGAACGGGTCGAGGAGCTAAGAGCAAAGCTCGGACTCGACTCTGTGACTGGGAGGCCAGTCAGTGGTCCAGGTAGAGGATCAGGGACGCTCTTGTTCAGTGACGTTGTCGACTGGCACCAATGACCGGTCAGGGGCAACGAATGCACTCTTGCTGAACCAGTGCAGTCCCGGCCGTGTACCTTCACCATGAGCGATAACTGGGCCACAGGACCATGCCAGAAGTCCGATACTCGGAAGGCCAGAGTCGGACCACGCACCTGGCAACCAAATGGAAGTGAACGAGATGACGACCGCTTTACGATACGCTTTTCAACCAGTGCAAGATCACTTTGCGTTACATACTTTATGCCCTTTATTCCACTTCTTCAAAGATACCCACTTGAATTTACCCAAACTTTTGACGGCGAAAATGTCTCGTTGGACAAGACATGGATCGCTAAGGTGGATTGCTGATTACTGATTACGAGACTCTTTTGTCAATCTCGAAAAGGAACAAAAGAACACCAAGAGAACAAAAAAAGTGCCGTTCCGCCCTGGATGGAAGACGCACGGAAAAAAAGGCCCAAGTCAACCCCCCTGCAACATCTTCCGAGAGCCATTGCGAAGAGGTTAGAGGGTGTGTGTTCACACAGAGGCTCTGCTTTATTTCGACCAATATGTCCGCCACACCAACTACACACACAACAGGGCAAAATATGAAAAATGGTCAACAATCAATGGAATGTGAATGAACACTGGTCATTAAATGTTGGACATTATCAAGAAGAACCGACACCAACACCGACACACCTAGGAAGACAGCACGCACATCTTTGTTTCCCCCCTGCAAGTTACATCATCTCAGAGAGCTGGCTGGCACTATGTGAACATGATCTTCTTCTATCTTCCGCTTGCCCTGCAAGATGCTCGGAAGGACAAGACAAATGCTAGTATTGTACAAACAGTCGACTCGGAACCCTGACCGAGGTTTGAATAGACACGATAGTACGACAGCACGATAGCATCTCACTCACATTCCCAAAGAAAAACTCCATTTTGTCCTCGTAGGCCGTAGCTCGAATTATTTATTTACTTGAAACGACCGGACCCCATGACGGCTGCTTTTGTCCCCGATCCATCCCATCCCATCCCGCCCAGTTTTTCTGCGCGAGTTGGAAAGGCCGCATCACACGTCCCAGTGCAGTCTCTGGCATCTTTCTCGGAGGACTGTTGCGAGAGCTCCAACGTCGCTATCTCCGACTCCGGCTCCTGCGGTCGCGGTAGTCATCATGACAAGAATGTCCGCGACAGCCACGGCTTTCCTCGCCCAGAACTGCGGCAGCGTAACTATCTCACCACTGCCACTACTGCTGCTGCTGCTGCCTTGGATTTTGTTCTTGTGTTTGTTGTTTTTGTGTTCCGGGATATGCTCGTCGTGGTCGGCTGGTGCAGAGTCCGAGGCTGAGCATGACGCCGCTGGTAGTGGTGGTGGTGAGGCGTAGAGATCGATGGCGAGATTGAATAGCGTGACGGCCAGCCACTCCAGTTCTTCCGGCGGGTAGTCGTTTCCCCCGGCGGCAGCAGAAGAAGCAGCGGACGTTGCCAGATCCAGGGCATGCTCGGTGATTCTCGCCACGGTGCTCAGATTCTTCTCGGACTGATACTGGTTTTCGGGTCGCGAATCTCGTCGGCGGTCGAGAACGATTTGAACCATACACCTCATCCATCTCGCGGCCCGGTTGCTGTCGTAATCCGGGTGGTTTCGCAACCCGGATATCAGCTTCGCGAGCAGATTCGTCGTTGTCGAGACTGGCAGGAGCACAGGTGGAGTCGAAGACTCTGGGCCGGACGGCTGGGACGGCTCGGTAGACTCGAGGCAACCGCTCATGGAGGCGGAGAGGATCATGTCGGCGAAAAGCGAGTACGTCTTCTGCGGCGGGTTCAGGAGTACCATTTGGTCTACCATTTCAGCAAGCGAGAAATCGTGTTGAACCGGGGCTGGGCTAGAAACATCTGCGGTACTGGTACCCACGAGGAAGAGCAGTGCTTCGAACGCCAGGGGTGTCAAGACAATGAGGTTCTGCGTGATCCCTTCGAGAACCTCCTGCTCGACGAGGCTTGTACTGGAGCCCTCACGCAAGGCGTTCAGATGAGTTCGAATTTCCGAGTACTTGGCAAAGACATTTCTGTACAAAGTAGACTTGATTTCTGTCGGCGAATGTGGTGGTGCCTTTCCCGAATAAGCCGTCCTAGGAATGTCTTCTGCTGTAGACAACGTAGCTGCCGACCTCGCCTGGACAGTGTACAGGATCGCTTGGATGTACTTTGCACCAGTCTCATGGATGTGCTTCTCATATTGAACCTGGCTTGGAGCATGCGTGGGCAAGTGCATCTGGATGGGTGGGCGGTCAGTCGGAGAGAACGAAAAAGGCAAAGACCTGTAGACACTTACTTGGCACGAATAGTGCAAAAGGTCAATGACATATTTCGTCGGCCATGACTGGAGGTATTGTACGGCAGTGTTGTAGCTGGTCTTCTCAAACCACCTGCTTTCTTGTAATCGATGTTCCATGGTCGTTTCTTCGCTAACCTGTTGCTTTCGCGTAAAGGACGCCGCTGGTCTGTGTCAGCTAAGGTCACTTTGTGCTGCTCTTGGGTCTCGCACCGGACTTGAAGATGCCGCATAACCGAGACAGAAGTTCTTCATCGAGGTCGTCGGCTTCTGAAACTGCTAGAAGGAGAAGGCGAGCTGTACATCTTCTCAAATTAACAAAAGGGCGATACGTTGTGTGTGGTCCTGTCTTACCTCAGAAGGGCAGATGCATCTATTTCCGTTGGCAGATTGTCGTTGTATTTGTCCAGAATGCGCTGGAGGAGTTGCGCTCCCTGTAATTTGCTACCATATTGCGTTGCTTCCGAAACGGCGGCAAACAAGAGCTTGTTCCGGTCATCATGGACTGTGGCAAGAGAGGCCAGTGTTGATCTCGCTGTCCAGCTATTATTCTCATGGATTACACGGCTATTGGCAGGTGGCCTTACCGTCAGCTTCGTCCCCACGCCGCAGAGCGAGACAGTATCGCAGGTATCGAGAAAGGGGATGCTGTTTTCTCGCTGGCGACATCGTTTCGAGGGCTGCAAAAGCAGCTTCAAAGTTGCGGAGATCGATTTGACATTTGACTATTCTCCTGAGACCAAATACCAATGAGTGACAAGACGGAAAAGACGTGATAACTCTCACACCTTTCAATTTTGCCCACGTTGTGATCTCCAGCCTTGCTAAACAGTTGATGCAATGCAACTTGGCACCATTTAATGGTGATCTCTTTCAATCCGTGGTCGAAGGTATGCTCGATCCGCTTCCAGAAAAGCTGTATTGTCAGCAGGATCTCTGTTCATAGCAAGATCGAGACCTACAATCAATGCACCATGCGTAGCCTCTGCACTGAGAGCTTTATTCCAGGCTCGGTAGATCTTCTCGAATGTCCCTTCAAGGGACAGCATGTCGACGCTGCTCTGGCCCTCGCCTTCCGCTGTTATGAGCCAGATCAATGTGATGATGGCCTTTTCGGTCCATGCGTGTTCGTCGCTTGAAGCAAGTCTCAAGACAATATACGACTCCAATACTCGGATTGCGTGGGCCGTACTGAGTTCGATCAGCTTAACACCTTAATTGCTTGCCGTTCATACCTCAAAGATTTTAGATGATGCACATAGTGCAAGATTCTAAAGGCCATGAGCAAACACTCACCGTGATCCTGAAGGGCTAACTCACAGCTTATGATTCGAGTGGATCAGGTGAGCCGATCGGACAACGCTCAATAGATCTTCGTAAATCAGAGAGGATCATCGTCAATTTCAGTGGGAAATGGTCTTACCAGCTGAGAAGGCGTCCGGATTGGTATATGAGTCTTTTGCAGCGACCTCTAATTGTAGCAGGATGACGGGAAGCCTGTGGCTGTACTCCTAAAAGCCTTGAACTTTCGTTCATACCCTCATTTAGAATCAGGATGCTTACCTCTCGAAGGACCTGGAGGAGTTGAAAAGCCTCCTGTCCGGGTTCTCCCTCCTTAAGTGCCAAAAGAGCTCGCACTGCTAAACGCATGAGTGTCGTCGGAAACGTGAACACGAGAGATTCCCACCGCAAGTATGTATGAGGGTAAGCCTTAGTTCCAAGACATCCGCATCTTCACCCTGCGTTTCAGGTTCATTTGCAAGCTGGCAGCCCCTTCTGAGCCATTGCGCAGCGACAGTGTATTTTTTCTGACTGAGCTGATCATTGCCGATCTCGTAGCATAGGTCAAGTGCTTGTCCAATGCGAGCGGAATCCAACTCGGATTTGGATGCCTCGAATTGGCTGTAAAAATGTTCGGCTAGCTCTGTTCGTCCTTGTTTCCACGCCTGTTTCTTTAGTTCATGCCCGCCAAACGGCTGCAGTGTACACAGACCAATGTGATGCGCATCAACAAGTACTGTGCAGTCAAATTTCCATTTACTTTTTCGATATCGAGGTCATCATGACTGGCTCTTTGAAGGAGATCTTCCGATTTGACAGCCAGCTGTTCAATGACCTTGGAGGCGAGGTCAACCAGGCCAGCTTCTACCGAAAGGATGATTGTCAGGCAAAGTGATACCAACAGCCCAGAGTACCCTACCAAGACAGCTTCTGCTAGCCCTGAGTGCGATTTGAAATAGTCGATGTTGGCCTGTAGTTGAGTAAGTTGAATTCCGAGTCTGGGACAGTAATGTGTGCACTCTTCCATTTCGAACCCGCTGAACTTTCGAGGAGGAGATACGAGAAGACTCGGACTGGGGCATCGGTCAGATGTGGACACCTGGGAGGTTGATGATAATCACCCCTAGCCAGGTTGACGGGCGGCTGCGGACATCCTTCGCCCCGACTCAGTCTGCAGCATGTGTTCCAGAGAGCAACACCTCTGCGATCGAACTCTGTCCGCTGGCTTGGAGTAAGCGCTTTGCGTGGGAGAGGGAGGGCTTCCAAGTAAATTGAGAGGTCAGGAAATTCTTCAGCCGGTAGGGTCACTCCTTGGTTGACGACGGTTTCTTCAAGGTGGGAGGTGAATTCTAATTCATCATCAGTCAGTTTCCCTAGCAAGACTGATGGCGAACACACCAAGAATGGATCCGGCCGTACTCCCTTGCTCCTTTGGCAACATTTGAGAGATCTGGACCGCCTGTAAGAAGCGTCGAATATACACCCGTGGAAAGTCAATGGGCTTTCAGTCATGAGAGGGAAGAAGAGTGTGGCTGACACGTGATTTCATCACCCGCAGTCTTCACAAGGCCTGCTATTAACCATGGTGTGGTGTACTTGGAAGATACTCAAACATCGTAACATTGCATCATCTGAGGCTGCTATACACTAAAACAGAGGTCCTGTACTTCAACGTTTCCCAGGACTCATGGGCAAGAAATTGCCCACAATCAGCGAGGGTCTGTGTTGAATGTCTTAGCGAGAGGGAAAAGCTACCAGGGTGGCGAGACTTACATATTGTGATTATCTCTTCGAATGGTGAAGGAGAAACAGCAGTGAATGTCCACGACGTCAGCACCTGCCGTGGGACAGCGTAGTGTACAGCTGGTGAGCATAGCCTTTTGCTGCTGGTCGAAGCAAATGGCACAGAACTTCTCCCAGTAGCTGACCAGCTGGTCTTCGACGATGATCTCGTGGATGGCAAGCTTTCCCTGTATGCTACTATCAGTTCGTAGTCACAGCCGACCGATGGATCTCTCACTTACATCACGAAGTGATTCGATGGGTACCTGAATCAACTCTGCCATCTCCTTATTTCCTCTGAAAATTTCACCCGTCCTTCTCCAACAGCAGGCTGGAATGGCCATGCTAGCGAAAATTCTGTCGTACTCCATCAAACTCCTTTCAAACCACATCTCCACCAGAACCAATTCAATATCTGTCAAGCTCTGCATTCTCTCTCTAAATTTCGGCCGGAACTGGTCCAATTGCATCAAGATCTTGTGACGCGAATGTGGCTTCATGTTCTTTTCCATGTACTTGTTGAGCCGGGCATATCCATTCACGTAATTGAAAGGTCTTAACATTCCTGCATCGTATTTTGCTTTGAGTAACTTTTGCATGCGCTCCTCCGGAGGTTCAGCGCCCGTCGGATCGGCAGCCATCATGTAATACTTTTCTCGCGCTTTGTCCGATGCTGGCTTTACACTCGACGGCCTAGATATCAGCGCTGCTTGAGCTGCGTTGTTCTGAGTGGTTGCATGGACGCTGTTGACGTGCTCCTGCGAAAGGATTGGTTCGACTCCGGAGGTCGGGAAAGAAGAAGCTGCCATCGAGTTCATGAACGAAGGATCATTGAAGGGACCCTGGAATTCATCAGTGGAATACATTCCGGTCTCTTCAAATAGGCTGTTGCTGAGGAAGTCGTTTAGCAGGTTGAATTCATCAGTGACCTCGTTTGCGTTGAACATATAGTTGGGATGAAAGGCCTGCATATCATGAAATCGATTTTGGACTCCGGTCCATGGATCATTATAACTGAAGTCTGCACGGCATTAGGGACCACCGCTTTCCCCTCAAAGATTGAGACACACTTACGGGGGTGAGCATTACCATTGATACCAGCGTTTGGTGCAGCTGCGCTCGGATTAGAGACGGCCATGGTGTCATTTGTGGATGGTCTCAGTCCAATATTGTCCTCCTGCAGTAGATTAGGAGCAGAGTCGTCCATCAATGCGGGACCTGGTAAGCTTGGAGCCGTAGGAAAATCATCCCGTGGAGGAGACTGCTCGTCCGGCGCAGCAGTGTCTGAGTCGGTCTTGGACTTTTTGTGATAGCCATGTCCCTCTCTTGGTTCATCATGACACAGGTGGCCGATGTTTCTCTTGATGCAGCGTTTACAAGGTCGATCCTGAGACACAGTTCCCCAATGGGAGGGTTGCGTTAGCCAAACAGGACTTGAGTGGATGGTGTTGAGCTCGACATTGAGCGCCAGGGAGTCGTACAGAATCGCAAGTCATATGCTGTGTATCCCACCAAAAACAAGCAGTCAGCCCATACTATGTCTTGCCATGTCCTCAAATCTCGGTACTTCCGCGTCTCAGAGGTCAAAGGAGCTTACCGAACGGCGACAATATACGCATGCTGAAGAAAGGTGTCAGTGTGAGCCATCGCTAAAACTACATGGAGCGTGTACAGACCATGGTTCACCTTGCGCTTCTTCTTTGGCTGATCGGTGGAAGGCGAGGTCTGGTTCGACTTGCGGGGCGCAGTTGGCGAAGTGGCTTCGTGTACTCTGTTGTTTGGCAGCGAACCCCGATTGTCGAAGGAGTTGTTCATGTCACTGCCTGCACGGTCAGGCTCATCTGCGAGATCTGACATTTGCCGACAAGTTGTAAATCGGACGGTGGTTTAAGGATCGAACAAGAGAGCGTGGGCAAAGCTGCGTGCAACCCGATCGCAAAGACTCATGGTCTGCAAGAAGCGGCGCAGAATATCTTTACGTGAAACTGTACAGAGACACCAAGCACAAGATCAACCAAAAATCGAAGAGCAGAGGAAATCTGCAGGCGAAACCGTTGGTAGAAAGTAAGAGCCTCGGGCCCCAGCTCACCAGGTACAACATAATAAGTGTTCCAGGCCGGTGCCGGAAGGCTGGGCCTTGGAGTTGGATTCCCGTCGTGGGAGCCTGCGGCGAGACGGAAACCCCGCAATCGCTTTGACGGACCCGAGCGCAAAATAAGTCGCACAGTCTGACAATAAATAATGAGGAGCCATTCACTATTGACTCAATGATAACCACCATTAGGCATCATGGTACCCTTATCCTCATTAATTTAGAGGGCATCTACTTTCTGTCAGACTGCCATTATTCTTTTATTCCAAAAGCTCGACAGGAAGCACGGGTGAGTGGAGCCGTGCATGCTTCCTGCAGCCCACGGACTGTGCCTGAGCCAGACGGGTGGTTCTCGGCCTCCAGATTGGGAGCTATGTATGGAGTAATTATGGGCTTTTGCCTTTTATTATTTGGGTATCGTACGGATTAACGATAGAGAGAGCATCGTTGCAGTGCTCTTACGTCGAAATGGTGGTAAACTCCCCCTGAACTAGTTTTACAGATGGTTTCTTTTTTTCTCGTCTCCTGCCCTTAGTAAAATATAAAGACCTGAGACTACCCCTCGAAAGTGAGACTGGAAAGGAGCAGACATTAATGCACCGGGTAGACATGTTGATCGTAAACGTCGTCAAAGTTGAACCGTCAAAACGTCATTGTTTGGTGGAAAACAGCGAAGATGGGCCGGTTAAACGTTGACGCTGGGGCGCGCCCTCTTCCTGCCTTTGGTGCCTCCCGGAGTGCCCTCCTCTTCTCGCTCTCTCGCTCTCTTCTCCCGCTGATCCAGCACCAGATTCAGAACGTCAAAGCCAAACTGTGGGTACTCCAGACACATTGCCTTGAATTCGTACTCGGCTTCGTGGCGCAAAACGTGTGACCGGGTGGCCCAGAACGCAGCAACAGGCCTGCGGATGGTGACATCGTCCGAAGGTGTGTTGCCATACACATAACGTGCGTATGCGATCTCCCCCACAGCGGTCGAGTTGATACGATGTATCTTTGAATGCGCTAGTGTCTTGAGGTCAGGCAACCCAAGCTTCTGAGCCAGCGTGTAGACGCGCGCATGTTTGAGAAGCTGTTCGCCGGTGTTGTCAACGGGCGGGACTGAAGGGTCAGGTTCCAGGCCGTCAGGCGAGTCTGCAAGGCGTCGAGGGAAGTATTCGCCGGTATATTGATATTGGAGGAAACAACCCACTGCATCTAGCGACTCATCAGGCAGCTCGACTATGAGAGAGTCGTCGTCAAGACTCGAGAGTATCTCGCTGAAATAAGGCGACTTTTGGAGGATGGCTTTGTGGGCAGTCAAGGTAGTCTCCTCATTGCCGGTGCCCACAATCAGATGGACGATAGGTGACTTGAGGTACTCGAGAAACATGGTTTGAGGATTGGTGGTATTGCCATTGGCGATCTGCGTGTCATTGCCTGCGTCTTCCCCTCGCCCGGCGGCCTTGTCATCTTCCACCTCTTGTGTCTCTTCCATGGCCTCCATCTCCACGTCAGCTGCGCCTGACTCGCCTATCTGTGGGGTTTCTTCACCATCGGCCATAATGTTTGCGATCGGAAGGAATTGGATAAGTTTTTTGCGGAACCGGCGTACTTAGGAAGCTGTGTGGAACGCACCAATCATAGACCAGTTAGCATGTTAAATGTGACGGAATTAAGGAGCGAGAAGTGAAAAAGATGCAAAACGAATGAACAAAAGGATGGTGTTGAGCATGGTGGAGGAGGAGGAGGCTGGGAGACGAAAAGGTCGTGGAGTTTCTTACTCCATGGGGTCTTTGAACCACAGCTGCAGAGAGTCGCAGTCAAATCTGTGCGCCTGGACGGCCGACCACTCTGTTCCATTTAGTAGGCGGCGAGTTTTTTGGGACAATTATCTTGCTATGGGATAATCCTCTCGACCACTTCAGCCAGCTTTGTTCTTTTCGGGTTGTCGTCAGGCTGCCCAAAAGTGACCTAGAGAATGCCATCTGGCCATGGTGAATCACGTGATTCAGATACTCACTGAGACCTGGCACTGTGCTTAGGGAATGTCCTATGTCAATGGTATAGGAATTTAAAAAAAAACCAGCAGGGTGTGCGGCACCTGGACAATAAATGCGTCTCAGTACAAAGAAGAGCACAACTGTGATCCCACATAAGCGAACAATTCCTGGTGGAGGATGACCAAGGCAGAGCCGCAACGAGCACTCGATACTACGTACTCTGTATGGAGTACAAGGGGACAAGTCTGTGCTCTGAAGTCCATCTATCAATGACATAGAAAACACCCATGGCCCTATAGAAATCAAGGATATTGGGTCTGAGTAGTAAGTGTCCATGTCTGTCGCTGAAACCCAATTTCCAGTAGTGTGTGGAGAGAGGGAGCAAAGCCATGCCTTTTTGAACATTTGGGCGTCAAAAGTCCTATGATGCAAATTAGGTGAAGACTCAAGATGGACGTTGGAAGAATTGTTTGCTAGTTCAAGCAGGGGATGTAATAAAAATCAAGGGGGCCCATCGACTTGATGGAGGCTTCACGTGGTTGATAATGATCGTTTTCCACAGTCTAAGACATTCTGGACTCGAGAAAGACACTGATTGGACAGAGGGGGCAAAGAAATGCGGGGAGCAAAAAGGGTCCAGAACAAACTTGCTCGAGGCCAAGGCTACGTGCGACGTGCGAGGCTGACCGATCAACAACTCCATGGCTCAGATTACCTCCGTGCCTCGTCAACGAATGCACAAAAACCTATTTTAGTACCGGGCGCCCGAGTCCTGGCAACACAAAGTACTTGCTAGGTACGAGTATGCCAGGAACTTCATCAATCGGTGTCTTGGTCGCTCGTCGGCCTCCGTGCAGCGTTGTGACCAGGCGTCCAATTTGTGATATTTTGGTTGATGGCAGAGCTCAAAGCAGTAAATCCCTTCCCCTCTGTCCTTTTTTTCTCTCGTGGCACAGTCCTTCCAATTTCCGTACCCCGTATTCTTTGACTTTGCACTTGTGAGACTGAGTTGGGCAAACGAAAGTCCGACCAAATACAACCAATGGCGGATCTTATCAAAGCAGATCGAAGGGGGATTAATGAACTGAAGGGGGAACTCAGGCGACCGAATAGAGTTGGGGGTCTGCATTTGGGGGAACAAGGGTCGCGTATAAGGGGTACGAGTTATGTTTAGGGGTCACGGGGCCGAGGAGCGTTTGATTGGGGGGCCTTCTCCCCTCGCACGGCCACCACTCGTTAGCCTTGCCCTTGCCTTGCCCACAGGGAAAATGATAGTTGATTAGTGTCCTGCAGCCGTGCATAGGCGAGTCAACCCGTGCCCCCCAGTGGCCCTCCCAAAAGAACCCCTAAGCGACCCCTTGCCCTTTTCAGGCACTTTCTGCCCAAGCTCAATATTCCAAGCTCACCAAGTCACCTTTGGGCACCTGGAGATACCGACCAAGGCGATGATCGGGGAATCCGGCGCCATCCAATAATGCCAACGATAATTCCCGAAGCCACGAAATTAAGTACCTATGTAACAGTGTCTTATCATGGACGTTGCTTACTACTGGGACAAGCATCCAACGAGGTCGGAGATTTTGTACACCGCCTACACTTGTCCATAAGTGGCAAACAATGGCGTGATCGAACTCTAGGATGTTGTCATTTCAGTCAAGCCGCTTGAGAGGATCTCAATGATGCCTTCGCACGTTAATATTATGTTATTCTCGCCTTTGTAACCGCGGAGCCTCTCCATCTTCGATTCACTTCGTCATCCTGTTATATACACTTTGGGGTTTCTTCCATCATGGGGAATTTTTTTGCCTCCCTGAACCCCTTCTTACCCGAATTCCCGGTCTGTGTGTCCTTTTCCCAAGACTTTTTGATAGATGCTGCATCCCTCGGAAAAGAGGGAGGCTGACTGCGACATGGCAAACGCCTCTCTGTCAGCCCTCTCTCTGGCTCTCTGAGCAATCACACAGACTGACGGCCTTACCGCCTTACAATCCACGGTCCATGGTCCACGGATGCTAGTTCACGTCGGCCAGATTGAATGAATATCATCGTCCCCACATACGCCATACCGGGATCAGTAAACCTTGTGGGTAACTGCAGCCTGCAGCTCCAAATTCTTTTTCGAAACCACAGCCGTTCGGTGCCAGTCGCTCCGTATTCACTTTGTTTTTCCCTCGCGTTTTGCTCGCGACCTCCCCTTTGGGTCAGTACCATTTTTCTTTCCTTTGCATCTTTGACCCAACTCTGGTCCTCCCCTGCTCTGGGTTCCTTCTGTCATTCCTTCCAATTCCTTGTTTCGGGAAACTGACCTTGTGACCCTCACTCTTCCTCCTCCTCCACCCCAGGAAATCTCACCCTAACCCCCTCGTTCTCATAATTCTATAACTATCCACTTCCCGCCCTTACACATTTTTCACATTTCACTCTCTTTTTCCATCCGGGCAACGAGCATTCAGGCAGACAAAAACCCAGGTTCTCTGCTGCATTCTTGAACAACAAAGTATTGAAGTCACTGCGATCATGGGTTCCTTCAATCCTTTCCCTCAATCCCCTCCAGTGTCGCCTCCCAATGGCTACCAAGGCGTCGAAGGCTTCTCGACGCCTCTGTTTCCGGCCAAGCCGAATATCCTCTTCATCATGGCCGACCAGCTTGCTGCTCCGTTGTTGAAGATGCACAATCCAAAGTCCCAGATCAAGACTCCGAATCTCGACAAGTTGGCGGAACGCTCGGTGGTTTTTGACTCGGCGTATTGCAATTCCCCGCTGTGTGCGCCGTCTCGCATGTGTTTGATCAGCGGTCAACTTCCTTCTAAGATTGGTTCGTACGACAATGCCTGCTCCATTCCCTCTGAGACGCCGACCTACGCACACTATCTGCGAGCTGCTGGCTACGAGACCACTTTGGCCGGCAAGATGCATTTCATCGGAGATCAGCTCCATGGCTACGAAAACCGCTTGACTGCCGACATCTACCCTGGTGATTTCGGCTGGGCGGTGAATTGGGATGACCCAGGCCGAAGACTCGAGTGGTACCACAACAGCAGCTCTATCTTGCAAGCTGGGCCGTGTGTGAGGACCAATCAGCTGGACTACGATGAGGAGGTCCTGTATAAGTCGAAACAATATCTTTATGATTATGCCAGGTCCCCCCCTGGGAAACGACCATTCGCCCTGACAGTTTCCTTCACCCATCCTCATGATCCGTACGCTATCGAGGAAAAGTATTGGGATTTGTATGAAGGTGTCGACATCGATCTGCCCAATGTGTCCATCTCTGAGGAAGACCAAGATCCACACAGTCGACGCTTGATGCATGTCTGCGAGATTGAGGGCCACAAATTCACAGACGAGCAGATCAAGCGGGCTCGCCGGGCATATTATGGTGCCGTGAGTTACGTTGATGACTGTATTGGCCAACTGCTTGACGTTTTGACCAAGTGCGGCATGGAGGACAACACCAGTAAGCAGCGAGCTCCGTCCACAATTGCAAAAGTGGTCCACTGACTGACATCAAAATAGTTATCATGTTTTCTGGTGACCACGGAGACATGCTGGGCGAAAGAAGCCTCTGGTACAAGAGTGAGTTCGCGTCCTGGTTCTGGCGATTAGGCTTTGTCCGAGATAGCTAACAGACTCTGAAGTGTCGTACTTCGAGAATTCCGTCCGGGTACCTATGTTGATCAGCCATCCGAAGCAGTTCCGTCCTCACCGCGTGTCACAAAATGTCTCGACTCTGGATCTCATGCCAACACTCGTGGACTTGATTGGATCCAAGCTGGTTCCCGGATTGCCCATGGATGGTCTGTCCCTGTTACCTCACCTCTACGGTGGTGACGGTGGCCATGATACGGTCTTCGCCGAGTATATGGGCGAGGGAACTGTAGCGCCCCTGATGATGATCCGAAGAGGCGCCTGGAAGTACATCACATGTCCAGTTGATCCACCTCAGCTATACAACCTCCGAAACGACCCGCTGGAAGTGACCAACCTTGCCACTAGTCAAGACCCAGAAACGCAGGCTGTCTTCAAGGCTTTCGAAGCAGAAGCCAGTAAAAAATGGGACTTCAAGAAGATCACCGAGGACGTCCTCAGGTGTCAGCGCCAACGTCGACTAGTTTGGTCCGCCTTGACTCAAGGTCGCTTTGAAAGCTGGGATTGGAATCCCATCGACGATGGGCGCGTCAAGTACATCCGTTCTCAAACCCCCTTGGATGAGCTCGAGCGGCGAGCTCGGTATCCCATGCACTCAACCGTACCGGCCCAAATTTCCATCAACAACAAGGCTGAAGTGGTCTGCCTCCAACCGAAGAGGCTGACCGAAATTGCCAGCGAAGCTGTCCACTATCGCTGAATTACACAAGCACTTGACCACGACTTCGTTTTGGATGCTGATTTGGCCGGCGTTCTGATCTCAAGTCTACACTTGTTCAGGGTGGCGTACTCGCAAGCGTGGGGTTACGGAGTCGGTATTTTGTCCTCCCTGCTGTTACTATGTTGTCGATGTCTTTCCTCTGTGGCAATGCTTTGCTTCTCCAGGTTCTCGATTACACTATGCTAATGGAGT